TTATTTGTTTCTTTATTTTCCTTTACAAAAAATACCACCATTATCAACTTTAAAATTTTTATTCAATTTTTTCATTTCATCTTCTAATATCACAAAAAGAATGATAGATTTTAAACTACATTTTAATCACATTGAAAACTATCTTACAATATACGACACTAGATTGCACGTTTTAGAATGTAAACTTGTAAAGTAATTAATAAAAATTACTCTCTAAAACTTACTTGAAGGGTGAAGAAAAGCCAAAGACAAATAATTAAAAATTTCTATATAATGAAAGCAGTAAACTACTTCAAATTTGTAAAAATAAAGAAAGCATAAATTAAAATAAAGGAAAAACTTAGATTTTGTCAATGTTTAAGAACTTTCTAACTCAAGATAGTTGTTAGAATCACAAAAAAAATAAAAAAAAAATTATACCTTTATGGCCATGGTCACATTATAACTTTTCTAAAGATCTTTTAATTTATTTCTACGTGTATTTAGTGGATACTGAGAATATTTGTAAGTTTATAACTATGTGTTTGTAGAATTAGTAAGCAAGTTAAACACTTAACTTCTATATACTTGAGTAATACACTTATTCCATGTGACACTTATGGATTAGTTAAATTTCTTTTCTTAGAAATATATATGCTTTGAAAATCTTTCTTTCAATTGAGCTTGCTTTATTAATAAGTTGGAAATTCTTTAAGTTATAGTTCATATAAATGATTCATGACTTGATTCAATTTGATAGATGAAAAAAATCTATGAGTTTTCTTGTATCTAATAAATTAAGTAATAACAATTTTTCTTTCATTTTATTTTTAAATATTAATTTTGCTTAAGAACAAGTGAAAACTCAATTTTGATAGTGAAATCAAACAACAATTAAGTTATTATTCAACATGTATTTAACACCTTTTAGAGGTTATTTAACACTAATTTGTATAATTTTTTAGTTAAATTTATAAAATAATCAATGTCTACAATCTTTATCTAAATTATTGAATATTTAATGTTTGTAACCTATTTTATAGAGGAATTTAACCAATTTATTCTATTTTATTATTTATAGGACTAATTGGCATGGAAACTGATGTAGAAATTATTTGATTCCTTTGAATGTATGGATCGTTCCTAGAGTAACTTCATTCACCGATTCTTGATTTCTTGAAAAACAATGTACAGATATTGATGCCACTCTTAAAAGGGAGATAAGCTACAAGATCTTCACCATGATGGAAAGATCTACCAATAAGAAGTAACTCAAGTTCTCTACGTAAATCACTTGAGAGAAAAGAAAGTTTTTTAAAACTCACTAGATTTCATCAAACCTGAAAAAATAAACCAAAATTACCAAAACACAAAGGAAGAGTGTCTTATATAGGTAATAAGCTACACTAGCTATTAGGCTAAGCCCAACTACACAAGAAGGCAAAAGTTTAAATTTACAAAATACACTATGAGACCTAAGAATTATGTATAACACAAGAGAAATAGGGCTTCTTTGGCCTTCTTAACCCTTGACCTAGTCATAGGGTCTTGAAGTCCCTCCAAAGCATTCTTCACTTGGCTCAAGCTCTCCAAGCTAGCAAGATCCTCATCAGAAACAATGCTTAAAGAAGTCACGAAAGTCAAATACAAAAATTGCAAAATTGAAGTCAACTATTTCAAGATTCAGAAGTGGATGTTATAACATCCGGCACATGAAAATCAAGAAGGCTTCCAACCCTTAGGCAACATCCCAATGCCCAAGTATAAGTGTTTCAGCAATGAAGCTTCTGTTGAATCACATTGTTGTCCATGCCAACATCTTGGTATTAGCAATGCTTAGATCATACAAAAATTGCAATTTAGTGTCTTCCAAATATTCCAACGTGAAGACCAACGTTCCAAAATCCAATATGACTCCAAAATCTATAAAGCGAGGTTATGAGTGTTATTTTTTTAGATATATCTCATTTATATAATTTATTTTATTTTTCAAGTTTTAAATTAGTTTACTTAGAATTTTTTCTCTTTTCCTTTTTCTTTTATTTTTTTCTCTTTAAGACTTTGTAAGACTTCTTTGTATCTCCCAGACTTTTTATTGAGTTTTCTTATTTCTTTCTTTTTATTTCTGTACTTCATTATACATATGTGTAACTAACTTATTTTATATTAGTATTAGGATGAACTTTTGTTTAAATCTCCTATATTATTAATAACACTTGTCTAATTGAGTAAGTTTTTCTGTTATTAATGTATTCTTTGATTTGACCAACTTGAGTGTAAACTTGTCAAGTTCAAGATGATGTTAAACTTGATTTCTCAATTAGAAAATTGGCTTTTGAGTTAAATCTAAATAATTCACCATAGTTGTTATGATAGTGAAAGATTCACTCAATGATTATGGAGTTTTCTTGAGTTTTTGTACTATAATGCATGTGCTAATCAAACTTACCTAAAGAATTTGTAAGATTTTATCCAAAGCATTAAAACTTACTCAAATTTAAAGAACTTAACCTTATTACCTAAGTAATAAGTAGATTAGATAATTTTCAATAAACAAGAGGCTAACAAAAGTAAATTCAATCATAATTATTTTTGTTGATTGAATTTTTTGTAAGTTGTTTGTTTCTTACACTTCCAAAATACTAAAAATATTTTACTATATTTTTCCTACTTTCTATGCTAGCTTTTTACACGACAAGCTCAAACATAAATTCAAAGAAAAAGTATTGATAATTTGACTCCATTCTGATGAGATCAATGCTAGCGTTTTACATAACAAGCTCAAACAAAAATTTAAAGAAAAAGTATTGATAGTTTGATTTGACTATATTCAATAAAATGATTAATACACTTGTTAAGGTTGTTTGCTTTTGTAAACATACAAAACAAAAATAACAAAAAAAAGGACGAAATCTAATTTATTTTAAATTATTTTTAGTTTCATTGAAAGCTATTCTTAATAATTATAATTTATTTTTATATAAAAATATTTATTATCTTATTTTCTCTTGTTTAATAATCATAATAAAAATAATGTGTTAGATTCTTTTTAATCAAATGGAAAAAAGTTTTAAAAAACAAATAACATTTTGGAGTTTATAATCAAAAAATATTTTTTTCTAGTTAATTTTTATTTTCTTATTTTATCTGTAACAATTAATTACTTTAAACGCAAAACTAATTGTGTAGATTTGGATTAGTTGTTATAATGAATTAGATTTTATATTTGAATATGTTAACTAGAAATTGATTTTAAGATAATACATTTCATTTAAATTGTATAAAATTATTTTTTTTATGATAAAACTATAAAAAGAGTACGGTGTTATTTTTTTTATTTTTGCTATTAGAGTACGTGTTATTTGTAGTAGTTGATTTTATATTTAAAATAACTATTATTTTTTTGGGTTAAAATGTGAAAACAAAAAGCTAACTTAAAAATAATTTCTTCACATTTATTCATTAACTTTTAAAATTTTGCAAATTATTAAAAAAATCATTTATCAAATATTATTATCAAAGATTTCTAAATAGTAAGGCCAATAACTTTTTTCCTCCATCAATCAATTATAATCTTAAAAACAAAAATATAATCCAAACATTCTATTACACAAAATTTATATTAAAATTAATTTTTTATCTAACATGTCAAATAATATAATCTTATTTGATAAATAATCAATTATAGTCACAAATAATTCAGAAACACACTTCAGTACATATGGCATTATAATTGTTCAAGTGACTAAACTCTCAACTCTTGAGTGCCAACACGCTTTAATTCGTAGGTCTCTTAACATCAACGGAAATGATTTTTTCACAATTTTGGAAAACAACTTTAACTATCTCGTTTACTTATTATTATTGTTATAATAATAATAATAATAATAATAATAATAATAATAATAATAATAATAATAATAATAATAATAATAATAATGTTACTCGCATCAACTTTTAATTATTCAAATAACAAAATCACAACATTAATAGCAATATTTAAGTGTTGCTAATCAAGTTTAGTACTATATGATTGGCCAAAATAATGCTCTAATGTGCTACACAAGTAACAACGAATAGTGAGTGTGAAAAATCTAAACATAGTAATACGTCATTTTAATTTTAGATATCACAGGCATCGTTATTTTAGTTTCTAAGATTAAAAAAAAAATAGTCCCCGAAATTATTTAAAAAATAATATTTTAAGCTTTAAATTGTGAAAAAAATTATTTCCTAATATGATTAAAAATTAGTTATTTTTGTCAAAAAGTTATATATAAAATCTATTTAATCCTTAAAATTATGAAAAAAATAGTCCTTAAAGCTATTAAAAATAAGCTATGCTTGTCTCTTCAATTAATCTTTGTCAAATTGGGTAATACGTTTAATGTTACAAGTGAGGTATCAACATAATCATGACATGAATTTAAGCAATGAGAATCCTAAAATTTTGACAAAAACAATAAATGAACAAGTGAATAATAAGAAAGCAATAATCTAATGAGGAAAGAAATTTAGGAATAAAGCTAAAGTGTAAGAAAACCTCAATCAAGCAACACATCCTTATTATTTTGTTTTAATTTTTTGTCATAAAAGAAAATTGCAATAAAGGTAACATGTTAACACTTAACTGATCCTATCAAACACATCAATTGACAAATTTAACGTACATTAATGAAAGGGCAGATTTTTTATCCTCACTTCAAGAACTATTTTTTTTTTTCATTATCTTAGAGATTGAATTGATGAATATCTATAATTTCATAACGTAAAATGAACAATTTATGATTTCAAAAACTAAAAATTCTATTTTATAATTTCAAGAACTAAATTAACACATAACTATAATTTAAAACATTAAAACAGGTCGTGAGCATTGGAATTAGGACTCTCTTTCATGACCTAAAAGTTAGTTGGTTAAAGAAACATTTTAAACGTTCCCAACAACGGAATACCTAAAACTTCCTCCCATATTGTGATGACAACATCAACAGACGAAATGGCAGCCATGTAGCCTGTCGCCAGAAAGAACAAGGAATGATAAATTAAATGCCAAAGTCTGCTCTTAAGCTGTTACAGTCCTTTTTCATTCAAAAATCAAATGCCATCATAAAAAATGATAATACGAATAGGAGGAATAGTTTTCCTCACAGCACATTTACAGAATAATTAGCATCTATAAATTTGAGTATGAACTGTGCACCATATTTGAGGTACGTGATCTTTAAGGCAGTGCCTGAGAATATTCTAAATGAAAAATACATTTATTGCAACTTTGTAAAATTGAATTAGTGCAGCTGGTCTACAGTAATGTACACCACGAAACTCTCCTTCTAAATCTTCACACGTCCCTATGCCATTTAAACCGTGTATGTGCTTAAAAAGTAAGCCAAAAGCTTCAACTCGTGAATACCCTATTCTTCAAAATCTTTTCTGCTTCAGCTACACTCAACCGCCTGATCCCATTCTCCTTCAACCATCTTTTCCCCCCAGCCATACATTCTTGAGATCTGTTTTCATCCATCTTCAACATCTTCAGACCTTCGCTTGCTTTTGGGAAGAAACCTTCAGGTCTCAAACACCAAGCCCTAAATACCCCAAATAAAACATCCAAGTCATTACCAAATCTTTCAACACCACTATTGTGAAATTTTACATTGCTTGTAAGAATACCATTAAAAATCAATCGATCAATTCCTGCTGCCAAACTTCTCCAAACCCCAACAAAATCCCTACCATTCAAACCTGCTTCTACCACCGATATTTTACTTTGCAGATAATCCAGGGCCTCTATTAGTGTCTTTGACACAGTCCATCCTTCTTCAGCCTTTTGCCATTGCTTCTTGTTCTTCACATAATCTCGAGAACGAGCATCAAAACCTCTCAAAATAACTAGGGATATCTTTTCAACCCACTCAGTTCTGAATTCTTCCAACTTTTTTATCTCATCATCAAAGATAACCCTTCTAGAAATCTCTGGTAACCCTTCATCATATCTATTTGCATTACTTGCCAATTCTGCTTTGTCATCCTCATCCATCCCCATTTCAAGGAAAAAGACATCCTCAGACCATTCCTTTAGGACAGATTCAAAGTAATGAGCAGCATTGATGGAAATTGTAACTTTAATTACAGCATCATCATCAGTCAAGGCAGTCAAGCCTTCAGCTTCTTGGCAGCGTATAAGTATGGAATCAAAAAAATTTCTTATAATAGGCACACCTGCTAATCTGAGAAATTTTGACCGCAAAGTCACACGAGGTAATGATCGACAACGATCAATAACAGATGCAAGATGGCGAAGAAAGGCATTGGAAACCAGAGGAGACTTGTGATCCTCAGTACAAGATGAAAGAACTACATTTTCAACTTTCTTTCTCCAGTTATTCTCATCTTCAATGTCTGTTTTCAATTTATCTAGGACATCCCCTAACTCAATTTCTGCCCATAGATCAAGCCAGTCTGGACGATCACAAAATACAGATAGAGAAGAAATCTTTTGCAAGACATCATCATCATCAATGGATAGCAAAATCCCAGAATGCTCTACCAAAGACTTAATCCTTTTGTCAAAAGCTATCATCAAGTCAATGAGATGTAGCCATGATATTCTAGCAGACAACTGAATACCTGTAACACTCTCTTCGTCTAGTTGACCAATGTAACTAGGGAAAATTTCTTTTGCTAAGTATGTGGTTAAGGAAGTTACGATTGCTGAGATCCATTCTTCTCTACAACTATAACCAATTAACTTTGCTTCATCAACCAATGGCTGCAACATTTCATCCATAGAGTCAACATAATCCCTTGTGATCTTATATACAAGAGTAAAAATAAATTCCGGTTTATCAACCCATTTTGAGAAATGTCGTTGGGAAGCCAATGATAAGGGATTCACAAGCTCTTCAATTACCCAAAGTGGTTGTCGTAGAGCAACTTCCCTGTTGTGGCCCTCTAGCTGCCTAGCTTTCCTTTGCCTTTGCAACTCCTGTAGGTTGCACAAAGCAAGAAAGTTGTCAGAGTACCTGAGTTTAAGATCCGCTTGCATGCTCAGCAGAGGATTCAAGACTTGATTTGTAGTTCTTGCATCAGAATTTGAGGAGGTTAAAGCAGAAAGAGGTGGGGGCCATCCAAGTGAAACAAGAAGTGCACGATGATTGGCAATCGTCTGGGGTCTCAAAATAGCAAGAGCTCGATCTACTCTGTGATCAACTGCAGATACAAGATGCTTCCATTGAGGGTGTGTTCTTGTAATCGAAGTTAATATGCCTTCTGTTGTTTTAAGTGTTTTAATAGCAAGCAGATGCATTTCCTGCAACATTTGAGGATATGTTAAGGAATATAGTAATGATATAGTTCCCACTATCATCTGGCTCATACCATGAAAAAATGCTCACTTGTGAATTTTGAATAGAAGAATGTTTCCCCATGTTTTTGCTCATGGTATATGATACAGCATCTTCAATATCACCAACCAAAGTATCAAGTTTCAGTGCTGTCTCTGGAAGAAAGATAAACAAAGGAGTTTTACGAAACAAACAACATTCATTGAAAGGTAACTAAAAATAAAACCAAACACAGTATGGCAAGTATCACTGAAAAGTAAACCACTTCTTGATAATCAAAGTAATACATATCATAAAAAAGCACAGTAACACATACTTCAGTAAAAACACAACTCTCATTCTTCCCACAATGTTCTTTGAATTTACACACAAAAGTTTTAAGAAATGATCAACATTGACAAAGAAAGCAATACCTAAGAAATCAAACCAAAGGCAGCAACCATCATCAAAAAGAGCTTAACATTCTTATTCATCACAACAAATCATAACAATCACCAAACAGAAATATTTCAATAAAAACATCATAGCCTTCCTCAATCGAGCATTGTTCTTTGATTTTACACTGAAAGTATAAGTTTGAGAGAGGAACTGTCTCTGGAGGACACAAAATTCAGTTTTAAGAACTAACACCACTGATCAAAAGAAAATATAATGACTAAGAATCAAACACCTAACTACAACATTTCTTAATAATTACAACAAAACCATGTCATAACAATTACCGAAACACAAATACTTCAGCATAGAAACATCAAATTAAAATTATTCTTACAATGTTCTTCCATTTCCACAATTCAACCCACAAATTCAATTAAAAGACAAATAAAAACAACCTGCATAAACACGAACCGTCTCCAACCTAGCCACTTCCTTCGCCAAAGTTGCAAGTTCCTCTCTGAAACCCTTGCCATCCCCTCCACTTCTTCCTCTATCTTCACTCAACAAAACAAAACAATTTCTCAAAATTTAACACCAAAATATAAAACCCTAATAAAAGGAAAGAATCATTGAATCGAACCTGACACAACGGTGAAGGATATAGCAGTCAACCTATCGGTGACGTCGCCGAAGAGGCTGTGGATTTCGCCGGAGAAGGAGGCGTACGCGGCCAGACCCGCTCCGAGTCTGTGAGTCAACTCGGAGAGAGAGCGATCCAACTCGGAGCACTGAGTTTGGAGCTCGGCAACGAAATTGGAAGCATCGGCAAGGGTGTGTTTGGTGTGAAACTTCTGGTCGAGGAAGGAGAGTGCGGAGGAAGAAAGGTGAGACGGTGAAGGAAGGGTTTGGAGCGACTCCATTGTCGAACTCGAATTTTAATGCTTCTGGAAGGTTCTTCTCCGCCGTGTGCGGCTGTTCTCCGACGCGGGTTTTCGAAGAGTGTCCGTGGATGATTCGAACCTTCCTACATTGGGGTTGTGTTGGTTGGTTGGTTGGATCCAAACGAGGTCTCAATTTTGGTATTTTAATTTTCATATTCAATGTATATATTAAAAATATTTTGGACCCTCTTATCTACCGCATTTATTAATTATCAATTCTTTATTTTTGATTTATATAACATTATATCTTAATCTTTGGCTCTTAATTGCTTTAGAGATTTATATTTTAACCTTGCACTTTTTTGTTCTGCCTAGATTAAATATTTCTATCTCTATGAGATTAGAATTTCTTTATTTAGTATTGAAAACTTTAAATTTTTCGAACAAAATGATTTATAAGCTTTTTTTTAAAAAAATTAATAGAATAAATTTGCTCTCTTTTTATTGGACCTTGTTAATGATATTTTTAATAAGTTTGTTTAGGTAACTATTGTCATTGATATTAGGATTATCTTTATTCTTAAAATTGAGAACACGCATATACATAAATCAATTTAAGCTAATCTCTTTATGTAATGTTAGTTACAAAATAATAACTAAGCTTATTGCTAACTGAATTAGAGAATCCTTTCCTTACTTGATTTTTAGCACCCAATCCAACTTTGTTTCTGGAAAGTAGGATAGATATAATGTATTGATTTTATAAGAACTGTCTCATTCTGTTCATAAGATCAAAAGTTATATGATAATAAAATCAGACCTTGAAAAAACTTATAGTAAACTTAGGTGGCTCTTTATCATTGAAATCCTCCAAAAAATTGGCTTAAGCCCCAAACTGGTTGAAGTGATTAATCACTGTATCTCCTCTTCATCTATGACTACTAACTAAAATAACTTTGAGATTGACCTATTTAAACCCTCTAAGGGTATTAGGCAAAAAGATCCTTTTCCCCTTATATATCTGTCATTTGTTTTGAGATATTAGCTCACTTGATCAATGATAAATTAGATAGTAAAGAATGGTTCTTTTTTTCTTTTAGTAGGCATGGATCTCACACTTGTTTTTTATTGATGACATTCTTTTAGTAGCTAAAGCCACTATTAATCAAGCTAATATCATCCAATCTATGTTTCACGAGTTTTGTTTGTCTTTTGATCTTAAAATTAATATAAATAAATTTTCTCTCGTGTCCTCTGCTAATAATGACCTTGTTCTTGCTCATTCTGGGTATCCCTATGTATTATCTCAGGCCTCCTAAGAGCCATTACTCTTATCTCTTAGATAAAATTAGAAAAAAAAACTCTCCCTCTAAAAAATGAAATCTCTCTCTATGGCAGGAAGAGTAATCCTTGTCCAATCTTGCCTTGTGAATATTCCATCTTATGCTATACAAATCCAATTAATTCCCTCTGCTGTTTGTCAGGAAATTAACAAAATATGTAAGCATTTTATTTAGAGATCTTTAGGGGCTGAAAAATGCCACCTTGTTGGCTGAAAAAACAATATGTAAACCCAAATTTGAAGGGGCCTAGGTTTGAAAGATCTACACCTATTAAAAAAGGCTTACCTACTAAAACTTTGGTGGAGGCTTTTATATTTTCCTTCTACTTTGTGGGTTCAGGTCCTTTGTACTAAATATAAGTTTAAGGATGGTCAAAATCATGGCTATAAATGGCCCTAAAGCTTCCTAGCTGTGGAGCAATTTATCTTCTATTTAAGAGACCTTTTCTCAAAGATCTGGTTGGCACATTGAGGATGAGATGATTATTAAGTTCTAATCTCACAATTGGTGTTATGAGGTGGGTGTTTGACAACTATGTCATAATAGTTTCAAACAAAACTAGATTTCTCAATTAATTTTGCAATACAGAGAGTAAATCTAAGTCATCTCACAAGGATACAAGTTCATTCTATTTCTAGTTTTAAGCATGCTACATTGGTTAGATTGGGCGTTTTGTAGTTTTTATAAATTGAACCAAAAACGTAAATTGGAATTGAAATGCATTAACGTGAATCAAAATTGAATTGAAAATAACAATCAAAATTAAACGTAAATTAAAATTAAGAAAAACAAACGTAAATTAAAATCGAGAAAAGCAAGTACGAATTGAAATCGAGAATCACAAACACAAACTAGGATTGGTATACCGAATTCGCCTAAATCTTAAATACAAAAAAAATCAATTGATAAATCTTACACTCAAGAATAAAAATTAAATTCAATCGAATTATGCATGCACAAATCTTGATCAAGAATTGCGAGAAAGTGATCTTTCCTAGTAGCCTGGTTGAGTGCCCATAATTAATGCATTCTCTCCATTTGTTGGTAACTCTGGTGAAAACCAACTCATTCTCTTGGTTCTACACAACAATTATCCCAAACTTCTTAGGCACCACTTGTACAGGTGAGACCTGTGTGCTATTTGAAATAGGGTAGATGATTTCAACTATCAATAGCTTGGTCACCTCCTTCTTTACTACATCAAGAATGGTAGGATTAAGTCTTCTTTGGGGCTGTCTCACTGGTTTAGACTTATCCTCTAACAGAATCCTGTGCTTGCATATAGCTGGACTGATTCCACGAATATCAGCCAAAGTCCAACCAATTGCTTTCTTGTGCACCCTCAGAATATTTAGCAACTTCTCTTCCTAGTCCTCATGAAGGCTGCTAGAAATTATTACTGAAAGCCTCTGCTCTGTATCCAAATAGCAAACTTAAGGTGTTCTAGCAAAAGGTTTAGCTCCAATGATGGCAGCTGCTGTGTGGATGATAAAGGAACCTGTGAAACTTTAGCAGTCATGAAAATACCAGAATCTGCACCTGCAAGTGAAGGTGAAACAGAAGATATAGTAGTATCAATTTCAGCACAGATGGCACACACGCCACTGTCACAAGTGTAGCTTGGTAAAACATCAATGTCTAAATCTGAAAATTGTAAAAACTGCGAAAAATCAAAGTCTATATCTACATCTACATCTACTCCTAGTTCTACACACACATCAATGTTTTTATTATTTTCTGCAACATCAATCAGAAAAACAGAATGATCATAAAGCTTAGAATGGCCTTCAGCTGGGTGTTTCATGGCTTCAAAAATGTTGAAGTGAACTGTGTCATCTCCAAACTTTATGGACAATGTACCTGTATGAACGTCAATCTTGGTCCTTGCAGTCATAAAAAATGGCCTCCCCAGAATCAATGTCAAATTCTCATCCTGCATATCAAGAATATAGAAGTTAGCAGAAAAAATTAATTGGTTGACTTTAACTAATACATCTTCAAGCACTCCTAAAGGTTGAATTGTGCTTTGGTTTGCCAATTGATGATCATATTGGCTGGCTTCAAGTCTCCCAAATGCAATGTTTTGTACACAGTTGATGGCATGACGTTGATGGAAGCTCCCAAGTTCAGCAAGGCATTAGCAAATGTTACTTCTCCAATTGTGCAGGGTATGAAGAATGTGCCTGGATCATCAAATTTTTGTGGAAGGCTGGACTAAGACAGGGATGAGACTATTTGGACCTCTCTCTTCTTCAAATTCCTCTTGTATGTACATAACTGCTTCAAAAATTTCACATACCTAAGAATTTGTTTAATGACATCTAATAACGGTATATTTATCTTCACCTTCTTAAAAGTATCCAACAGCTCTTGATCAGACTCCATTTTCTTTGATGTAGAAGCCCTGGATGGAAATGGAAGAGGAATCTGCTGCTGCTGCTGTACAGGCTTACCTGGGACTACTGTTTCATTTGCACTGGACCAGGCTGGTTTGGCCTGCACTGGCCTTGACTTTACTGGACTAGTATCCAACTCCTTGCCACTTCTCAAAGTGATAGCACTTATATTACCTTTAGAATTCACCACAGGTTAAGAAGGCAATGTTCCGGACCCTTGCTGCTGCAGATTATTCACTGAGGTATCTAGTTGCCCAATTTGGGTATACAAGTCTTGTATAGTGGCTGAAACATTCTGCTGGAACTGCAGACTTTGTGTAGTCATCTGGCTCATCAGTTCTTCTAGAGAAAGGCAAACATTAAATTACAAAAGTGACTGTTATGGAGCTTATTGTCTGAAAGGAGGGGGTAGGTATTTCGACTGTTGTTGTTGTGCTGGCTAGTGGGTGTGACACCCAAGCGCTAGGCGAGGGCGGGGAGTGATCGCTGGTGCAATGTGGCACAGATAAGGAACGGCTACCTGACAGGCTTCCGGCGGTAAGGCGCACATGAATGAATCAAACTTATATTGGAATAGGAGGGAGATTCAGAGACTGTGTATACAGTTAAGAATAGCTTAAAGGATTTGATTAGGACTGTCTATACCAACAAAATACATTTACTTTTTGGTGGCCTATCACTTAAGAACTCCAAAGTTAAGCGTGCTTACCTTGGAGCAATTATGAGATGGGTGACCTTCTGGGAAGTTTTTAGGAAGTGTGCGAGTGAGGACAAAGCACACTGAAAAGTCTCGTGTTGATTTGTGAGAAGGGGATGATGGACTATACTTCTATTGTTGTTGTGTTGGCCCCATACCATACCCTAGGTTAGGGTGATTCCTTCACTCTGTGTTATATGTAGGTGAAAAGGGGTTGTACTTCTGTTGATGATATGGAGGGTGTATACCTGTGACAACATGAGAAGGTGCACTGGATGTCTTTTGCAGCTGAGGACAAGCATCAGTGTAGTGATCACTTGAACATATACCACATGTTTGTAGAAGCTCTGGCATTGCCTGACCCATGGCTAGTTGCTTCACCAACAAAGTTAACTCCGTAAGTTTATTTTTTAGCTTTTGATTGTCAGCTTTAGCATAGTGTTGGTTGTTGTTTCATGTATATGTCTAGTCACATTCCTAGAGCTGAATTGCAGTGAGTTCTCTACAATGTTGGAGATCAAGTACCTTGCAGTTATAGGAGTCTTGTCCATCAAAGCTCCTCTAGCTGCATTAATCATGCTTCTCTCCATAAGAAGTAGACCTTCATAAAAATATTGGATCAACAGTTGCTCATTGATTTGTTGATTTGGACAGATTGCACAAAGCCTGTTAAACCTCACTCAATACTCATACAAAGTCTCTCCTTGCAGTTGTCTGATCCCACTAATTTCCCTTCTAATTGCTGTAGTTTTGGAGGAAGGAAA